CATTAAGCAGATTCTTCAAAATAGTTTGGCTTGAAATTTAGTGGGGATATGTGTTCCTCCCAATCTGTGTCCAGATAATTGAAGTCACCCATGACAACCAAGTCCCATGCATGCAGGGCCTCTGTCAGTTCTTGAGAGAACTCCAGATCTCCCCTTGGTTTGGTGGCCTGTCGTAAATGCCCACAGGAACAATTTGAAGTCCTCCAGCATCCCAGGCTGCACCCCCCTCCCCACCCACAGCAGAGACAGAGCCTGGGTGTCCTGGCTCCTAGCCATATTCCTGCTTAACAGCCCTCTAGTGGTAAGTCAAGAGCTGTGCATGCAAGAAATGGTATTAACTCTTAATGAGTGGCTGCTCACAGCACATTCTAACTTTCATGCCACTTAACAGGCCACAGATTTAGTACGGTTCAAGTGTAACATGTAACTTCAACCTCAGGAAGCTCATTAAAGAAAATATTTGTAATTAACCTCAAATATCCAAAGTCAGATGTTCTCTCTATTTTTCTCTACTCTCTTCCCATTCAGATTTTATCATCACAGACTTCTAAAGCATGTCTTTATGTATTGTAGAAGCTAAATGTGATAGTTACAGATTCCAAAACTGCTACTCTTCACTTAAGTTTCAGAAAACAAGTGCAAAATCCTCTCTCTCTAACCTTAATTTAAAATATTATTACATATTTTTATCTCACAGTGAACTTTTCTTACAATGTCCACAATGCCATTCACAGCTATCACACTTTGACAAAATATTAACATTTCATTAAAAAGCAAGCCAGTCTGACTTTTCCTAGGATCAGAAATGATAGGACCTCTAGATAACGAAAGGTTAGGATTTTATCAGGCAGCTCAACCTTGGGTTGTACATTATTTCTTGTACTTTTGACTAAAAATAATATTAAATCAGCAGTAAATGCACTGCCCAGAATCTTTTAAACCTACAGGGACATAGGAAGGGGGAAATGTCATCTTATATTTTCTCTTTTAATTGCCAGGGAAGATTAGAGGCAAAAAAAATCTATCATTGATAGCAAGGCAAGTTGTTGTGTTTCTAATCACAGATTATGATGCTCAGGTGCCTGCCTTCTCTGATTGTCTTCTATCTTTGTAGTGTTTGCAGCATTATGAGATTTTTGTACTGCACGAAGCAAATTTCTGTTGCTTGGTCTGTGTGGTGCCCATTTGAAAAGCTCAGGTGATGGGAAGCACTTCTTTGAAATAACACTGAAAATTCTGAGGTTTCAGCTGACCACAGCCCTGTTCCAGGGTATAACATGAACAATCAGGTAATCTTTATTTTATTAACAGTATGTGTAATTACTGAAGTGGAACATTCTTCTCTTGAAATCCACCAGGTAGTCACAAAAGGAAGAATACCTTAGGGCTTGATCCTGCAGTGAGCTTTCACAGGCACCACAATATTCTACTGAAATCATTACTTCCTCATTAACAAAAGGTCAACAAGTATGTTAAAATGTATTTATAATTTGGCTTGATCTTTTTTTCTGATGGCTCTTAGCCAGTTCTCCAGGTGCATTTCATGGCATGACAGAAACATTAATCAAAAGATGTAAATGAGACTAAAGCAGGGCAAAATTTATGTCCAAAACATTTTTTAGCCAAAAAAAAAAAAAAAAAAA